TATTTTAAAATATTCTATTATATTTTAAATTAATAATAAATAAAATATAATTTTATTAAAAAACTAAAATAAAATTATTTTTTTAAAAAAAAGATATTTTAAATATTATTATTATTAATTTTTAATATATAAACTTTAAATTATATAATAAATTATTTTAAATTTAATAAATATATATTTAAATTTTTATAAAAATTAAATCAGTAATTATAAAAATATTAAGATTTAAAGTTTAATAATTAAATCATTTATTATATAATTTTAATTAAATTTATATAATAAAATTTATAATTTAAAATGTTTATTATTAGTAAAAATATTTTTATAAAAGATATATAATAAAAATTTTTATATTTAAATAAATTTTAATATTTAATAATTTAATTAAATAAGATAAAATTAAAATTTTATTTAAAAAATAATTTAAAATTTTTTTTTCTATATTAAAATTTATAATTTATTAAGAAATAATTTTATTTTTATATTAAAATAAGTTTATAAATTATAATTTATTTTTTTTTTAAATTTATTTTAAAAAATTATTTTAATTATAAAGTTATTATAAAATTTTTTTAATTAGAAATAAAATTTAATTAATAATTAAAAAAATTTAAAAAATTTAAAAAAATATAAATAAAAATTATTTTTTAATAAAAATTTTAATTTTTATTATATTTTATTAATAAAATTAATTTTTTAATAAATTATTTTTAGCTATTGCTATATTATTTTTTTATTATATATTATTATTATATATTATTTTTTTAATTTAAATTATTATTATAATTATTTATATATATTAAAATTAGATATTATTAATATAATTATATTATTTTTAAAATATATTTAAATAAATTTAATTTAATAAGAAATTACTAAAAATTTATAAAAATTTTGTATTATATTCTTTAAATAATAAAAATAAAATTTTTAAGATCATAAAGTATATTAATATAGTAATATTTTGTGAAATCATATATTAAAGATGATAAATTAGAGATTATTCTGATTAAAGTGCTATAAAAATTATTTAAAAATATTTTTTATAAATAAATATAAAAATAATTTTATAAAAATATATTTAAAGATATAAAAAATATATTTATAATTTAAAAAAATTTTTAGTTAATATTTATTAAATAAATATCAGATAAAAAAAGCTTAATTTTGATAAATTTCATAATAAAATATAATAAAATAATATTTTTATTATATTTTATTATGTAATTTATCAAATTAAATCTTTTTTTAACTGATATTTATTTAACTAAAAATTTTTTTTAAATTATAAATATATAATAGTAATTAAAAATAATAACTTAGAGACTAAATTTATTAATAAAATATAGTAAAAATTAAAATTTTCTCTTTATATTAAAATTTTTAATTTTATTAAGAAATAATTTTTAATTTTATATTAAAATAAAGTTTATTAGTTATAGTTTAATATATATTTTTTTTGATTTTTTAAATTTTTTTGAAAAGTTATTCTAATTATAAAATTAATATAAAATTTTATATTAACTTTATAATTAAAGTAATTCTTTTAAAAAAATCTAAAAAATCTGAAAAAAATATATATTAAACTATAATTAATAAACTTTATTTTAATATAAAATAAAATTATTTCTTAATAAAATTAAAAATTTTAATATAGAGAGAAAATTTCAATTTTTACTATATTTTATTAATAAATTTAGTCTTTAAGTTACTACTTTTGATTATTACTATATATTTTTTATATCTTTAAATATATTTTTATAAAATTATTTTTATATTTACTTATAAAAAATATTTCTAAATAATTTTTTATAGTACTTTAATCAGAATAGTTTCTAATTTGTCATCTTTAGCATGTGATTTCACAAAATATTACTAAGTTAATATACTTTATAATCTTAAAAAATTTTAGTTTTGTTATCTTAAAAAATATAATATCAAATTTTCATAAATTTTTAGCAATTTCTTATTGAGTTATAGATAAAAAATATGTTTGTTATTACTTTTTATACTAATTATAATTTAATATAATAAAATTATAATATAAATAATCTTTTTAAAACTTTTTATTAATATTAAAAATAATATTTTAATTATTATAATATTATAATAAATAAAAAGAATATAACTATAAATTTGAATTATAATATTATAATTAATAAAAAATTATTAAATTTTAATTAATTATAATATTATCTTAATAATTAATATATATAATTAAATTAATAAATATAATCTGGTGTAAAAGATTGATATATTAATATAAAATTAATAATTACCATATATTTTCAAATATAAGTAATTCCTGAATATAAGCAATTATTTCTTTTTTAAAATTTAAAATTCTAAAAATATTATATATAAAATATAATAAATTTATATTCAAATATAAGTAATTATCTCTCTTTTTATCCTGCTAAAATCTTGTATTTTTTAATTGCTTATATTCAGAGATATACAATATTTCTAATAAAAATTATTTAAATTTTAATTAATCTTTATAATTTATATTAAATAAAAAATAATCTAAATTAATTTTTTATATTATTTTAATTATTTTATTATACTTTAATTTAATGATAAATAAAGCATTACTTTACTAAAAAAAACTAAAATATAATTATTTTTTAAAAAAAAAGATGTTTTAAATATTATTATTATCAATTTATAAGATTAAAACTTTAAATTATGCAAGCAGGCTGTCCTAGATTTGATAAATATATGTTCTAAATTTCATAAAAAATTTAATTAGTAGTTATAAAGATATTAAGATTCAAAGTTTAGTAATTAAATTATTTACTATATAATTTTTATATTAATTTTAATCAAATTTTATATAGTAAAATTTAAGAAATAACAATTCAAAAAAGTTTATATTAGAAATTTTTTTTATAAAAGATAAATATAATAAAAATTTTTACATTTAAATAAATCCCAATACCTAATAACTTAATTAAATAAGACAGAATTAAAAGTTCATTTTGAAAAAATGATTCATTAATATTTATCTGATGTACCAATCTTTTTGCACCGGACCATAATTATGAACTTATAATTATAAATCTGATAAATAATTTGGATAATTAGAATATGATTTCAGTTATACAAGTCATTTTTTAACCCCTTGTAATTATATTCTTACTCGATTTCAGCATGAATTTTCTGAATATCTCTTGTTTAAATTTGAGTAATTACTAATATAAACCATTAATTTACCGATTAATCTCTTTTTCACAATCACATATACAGATACTAATAATGGTCCTATATCTATCAACTTCATAGCTTACTATAAAATACTTCAGTAATTTATAGCACTAACCTACTCTTTTGTCATTGAATTCCACTTTCGGAAACTAAGACGTGTTCAAACTTCACATATTAATGGGGGGAAATTTCTGGATTAAATCTAAAGATTCTTTAGTAAATTTTGCTTGCATAGTAAGTCTATTTGTAATATAATGTTCACCGCAAATAAGAAAATTGGAATCTTTCACAAAAGTTATGAAACATATATCGGAGAAAAAATCGTTATCAGCCCACCTTTCTCATGATTTTATTTATTCGAAGCCAGAGATTAGATAGTTAATTATTTTATCTTTTTCGAACTTGAGAGAAAAAGGGAGAGTAATAATATATCGATTAAATTTATAATACTTTTAGAATCTATCTCGTAATTGTTTTTTTCTTACCATATAACCAATGTGGAATATAATATTCTTTCATACATAGATAACATAATCTTCATGTACGATAATTAATAAATTAAATGAAAATGAAAAGATTATCGGGAGAGACATAAACATAGCGGTCTTCTTTTCTTTTACCACGTAGTAAGTATAAATCGCTATATTCTGGTTCGGGATGTTTAATTCCAAATTAAAACTAATGGCCTCGGTTATTCGCAATCCAGTTTTTCAGCACGGGAGAAATAGGCAGTAATGGAATCATCTCTTTCTTTCGCTTTTATGATTGGGTCGGGTGGCAATAAAATACTGCTTGTGAAGTTGCATGAATGGGTATGTATCAAAGGTCATAAATGGAGTGCAAACGCTTAAAAGTGTAAAAAATAAAGATTCATGTGTCCTATGTGTTAAACGGAATCGAAATTTAGTCAGAAACTAAACGGAAATTGTTCTTTCAGATATAAAGATACACATTCTAGAATTGCTCCAAAGGACATACATGTATGCGGAATGTCACATTTGCTAATATAAAATTATGGTGCCCATTTGTTCAAAATTTAAACGCGAAAATTTATGTCGTGATAGTGTATCAAATATCTTGGGCCGCCAAGATACTTCAGGATTAGAACTATACATTTATTATCTTGAGTATGGATTTGCGATCGAAGTGCAAGAGAACAGCATGAAAAATATATCGAATTCTTTCATAGAGGAGACCTGAATAATTTAATCAAACAGCAAGAGCGGGATCAACTCAGGAAAGAATTGTGCGAAGAAAACTGGATTATCCTATGGGATGTTTGGTAGCCCATATCGAGAATTTGGGCCTTATTGAATAAGTTTATAACTTTAAATGTTCCATAATAGTTGGTATGTGATGTGTGGTATTTTTTTTCGTAACATTTAATAAGATTTTCAAGCGCGTTAAACTCGATATGGGCATGCTTTAATTTTTCATTTATAAATATTCTGAATGAGCCGAGTTGCAAAAGAACTTTCGTTATGAATTTAAGATAATCATGCCATATTTACGTGTATAATATTAAGATGCGACCCATTACGGTGCGGTATGTCAGTCACAAATATATTAAGTTGAAAAACAATAATTAACCTGATGGGTTTCTTTACAATTGTCCACATTATCATTCGTCATCGAATTTTGCATTGATATAAATGGTGTGTCTTTATTACCCGTTTCTTTCAACTTTTTCAATCAATTTTTTAAATAACTCGTTTGACATGATTTATATCTTTTAAACATTCTGTCTGTACATACAAGATTGTTTTTCAGCAGAAGGAAATGACGAAGTTTAGTTAATGCTTCCAGTACCGTCCTTCTTCCCTCTGATTCAGCGAAATTAAAATCCCATTCTCGGCTGGCCATCCTTGACTGTTCTTTGGTAGGCCTTTTTCAAGCTCTATCCAATATTTTGCGGGAATCTCAGCTTTATAAAACGTGAAATGACACGTTGTCTGTTTTCTATATTTTGATAAGCCAATTAAACGCATATTTTCGCTCCCATAGGCGATAATTTCAACAAATCTGTGATTCCCGAATCCAGTGGATGGTCCGAAATTTCTCAGATGTTTATCCTGTTTAAATAAAGTTATTTGAGTAGAGAGACAAATTTTGTTAAACTAACAACATACTACTTCTACTCCAATAACAGTATAATCTCGATTTTTATTACGAATTCGGGGTTGCTGAGAGGATAGTCCTCGATACATACTCTGCACGGTGGGTGGTGATTTCTGGATTTTGAGAATGTGAACTTGTTACAATAAAAGGTTCATTATTATTCGGAAGTTCAGCTTAGTAATACGTAGTAGATCAGTATCAGTAAAAGTTTCGTTTATGCCTATCATTCAACACGGCATCATGTAATTTGGTAATGAACGTTTGAACTTCAGGATCCGAGATGCATTTAAATTCGAAGACAACAAATTCGGATTTCCAAGCATTTTACGACTAATATTAGGAAGAAAATACTACTCTGTAAAATCGGTGACTGGGACAATATATAAATGTTGTATTTTGCTCATACATTAATATTAGTACCGGAAAGTCCCGAAAATAAGCAACCCCTACGTCATCAATTTGTGACCGAATTTTTAGAGGGCTGGTTATTTTCGGGCACTTTCCAAATTTATTGTCGCGATTTGCGTAATAAAAAATCCGGATTATCAATTTAAAAATTCGGTAACTTTGGGACGCGATTTCTCAACGACGTCTAACCGTCAAAATAACCATTCGATTCATCTAAATTAGATAGATCGAATAGTCCTACGTTGAGATATCGCATCCCAAAGTTGCCGAATTTTAAATTTTTATTGGAATTCAGATTTACTTTTTTTTGTTTTTTTTGGAAAATTGATTATTAAAAAAAGGGGGTTGCTTATTCAACTTTTTCAAAACTTTTGGACAAAAACAGAGGGTTTTGCTTATTTCGGGACTTTACGATATTGCATCGTCCTCAGCTGAAACTGGCTTGAAATTCGCACTCAGTGCCACTATATCTGTACATGTGAATGAATCGTGTCTAACTCAGGCTCAGCGCGTTTATTTCTTTTTAGCGAAGCTAGAGAAAGACTCTTTGTCGGAGAGTACGTAAAGCAGTGCTAGAAAATCTCGCAACGAGACCAATCAAAGAAGACATGAATGTACCCCCCCACCCGATTAGGGATCCGAAAGTAGATGCACTTCACAGAAGCACGAATTTTTGATCAACCCGGCAAAGCAAATCCCGGCACAAAAAATGAAAATGACAAAAATGCGGAAAAACAGACATAGCAAAACCGATTAGTGAGGTTTTTGTTAAAGTTAATAATGTTATTATTATATTAGATTATTATTTTCAAGATATCGATCAACTGGCAAAAAAAAGAAGATTGACAGTGAATGACCGCGTGCATGGCTTTGAATATTAAAAAACAATTACTACAAATAACGAGCCGGAGGACTATTAAAACGTCGGAAGATAATTTTACCTTTCCTTCAGTTCTATCTTTAACCCTAATGATAAAATCACCTATATCATTTGTGAATTCTTATTAGTTGAGTATTTTGTGTACTGAGCATATAACTTTCACATTAGGAAATAAATGCCTTATTTGGGAAATTTATTAAATTAAAGCAAAGAGTTATCCCAGTTAATAATTATAAGATCAGGATAAGGGTAAGGGTAAGCACTAGAATTAGCGGACAAACAACAAGAGTTCCAAGTCCCTCTTTGTAAACAATCAATAAGCTCATCCGTGTTATAATTTTTAACTACGTCTGTCATTGTTCGAGTTGATCTCTTCCGTTAAAGTTGAGGAAGTAGAAATTGATGAAGTGTTAGAAAAAAGACATATTGATTTTTATCTCGTTATATGATGATAGAAATAATTTTATATACTGCGCTACAGAAAGTTAGCAATTCTAATTTGTTTTGGCTGATTAGATTATTTAAAATATAATTTTCCCAACCGGTTAAAAATTTTTATTCTAAATATAGATATGGTCCGGTGCAAAAAGATTGGTACATCAAATAAATATTAATAGATTATTTTTTCAAAATAAAATTTTAATTCTGTCTTATTTAATTAAGTTATTAGG